AAACTTTAATACACGCGAATCAACGCTATTAAAAACGTGTGTATGATTATTCTTACCATAATTATATAATTATATGATTACCATGTGACTAGGTTATATAAAAAATGTGTGTATGATTATAGTAAAATATAATTATGGTAAGAATATTATACACACAGTTTCGAAAAAAAATTAATACACCAAAATCCTTTATATATATATATATATGGGCGGGTTCAAGTGAGAAAGACTCTCAGTGAAAGAAATGAGAATGAATTATATTCGTCGATATGGTTAATCTAAAGGCCTAAATTACACCTAAAGGATGGCTCCATTTTCCAATGGATACGGTAAGTGATAAATTAATCCCATCAAATTAGGAAGGAATTAGGTGTGTAGGGGCAGTATAGTCAAGTTGATACCAATGCAATTAAATCGTGGATTGATTTTTTTTAATGCAATCGTGCATTGATTATTAATGGACATAATCAATATTTGATACTCTTTAAGATGAGCTGTTTTCCCTTATTAGTTCCTTAAAAAGTGGAATATTTTTTCATTATTAATTGATATTATCATACTACTTTCGTCCCAAAGTATTTGTCTACTTTTATTTTTACACACCATCCAATACACTTCTTTAATCCATTTTATCTTGTAATTTGTATATTAAAAAATTATAGAAACTATATATTAATAATCTATATGTTAAGACAAATCAAACAAGATCACACATGACTATATTTAGGCTTACACATTGAGAGAATTTGATGAATCAAAGTATTTAGATGAACAGTTCCAAAAGTCAAAACTGGACGAATACTCCGGGACGAGGGAGTATTAAGTAATGGTTTTCATCAATAATAAATAATTTTTTGTAATGCATTCTTGTTTTATTATGTCTCTCGTTTGTTTTATTTTAATACATTTCACACAGTGCAAAAAAAAATCTTTACATTTTTCACTATGAATGATAATATTTATTCCGAAAACATTTATAATTTTTAGATTTATTTACAATTTGAACTCGAGGTATTTATTTTAATGGTGTTTTGGGTAATCTACCCCTCCGTCAGGAATTAATTATCTCACTGTCTAATTCAAAAAGAGTAAAATTGTAGGGAGAAAGACCAAAGTAAGACTAAAACATTGAAGATATACCAAAATAGGACTTCCATGTTTTTATTCCCGAAATATGATTTACATTACCAAACATGGTCATATACATTACCAACAAAGTATATATAGTAATTTGCACATGTACACTGCCACATTACCACAATGCTAAGTCACATTACCACAATGCAAAGTCCTATTCCGGAAAAAAAAACATGAAAGTCCTATTTTGGTATTTTTCTCTATGTTTTAGTCCTATTTAGGATGATTTCTAAAAATTTGTATAGTTAAAATTATAATTAATTAATTTAAGAAAGGATTTTTAATATCCCACTTTTCAGGATTTGTTTGGGAAGATGCACTGTGATATCCACATTGACAGATCTAAAGCGGATGCACTATGAAGACCAATTTATGCATTGTAATTTGTCCTTTAAATTTTATTCTAATTTAATCCTATTAGTTTGTGAATTTGTTAATAATAAGCCCTGAGTGACTTTGGATGTAATGAGAAATTCTGAGAATGCATTGCATTCAGAAAAAGTGCAACGAAAAATATGAGAAATAATTTGCCTATGAGGGATTTGAACCCACATTTGTAATATATACCGCTCTACCATTTGAGCTAATAGGCAACCATTTTTTTCAAGGAAATTTTCATCCTGCACTTGGACCTATGAAATATGCATTTTAAGCTTTGAAAAATAGCATCATTCAACAAATTCTAACTCATATTGAAATTTATTACTAACATTTTTTTTGGACGTAAATACACTTCTTTCATTAACAAACCCATTGTTCGAAAGAATACACCATCTATAAGCTTCACAGCATACTATTTGCATATATACATGCAGAGAGTGACTTTTGAAATAATTACAGAACATTTTAAATTCATCACTGTTTGGATATATTTCACTATCTAGAATAAATAGATGCATCATATTTATGTTAGGAGAATTTCACCATCTCATAAATGAACTTCACTTGATTCTAAGAATGCATTATCCTTACTTTGTGTCTTATAATGCATTTTCTTATCATGCAAATGCATTACATGTGTCCTGATAATGCATAATAACACGAACCCTTAGTTGACAAAAACTTAAAAAAATACATAAAAATGCAGTTGGCCTAATCCCTTTCTATATAGGCCAAAAATTCAAGGTTCTAAAGCATTATAAAAATTCACAATAGCAAAAAATACGGCCTCAATTTTTTTTTCTTGCCAACACTGTGAATAAGAATACATTACCTTGGAAAATGCAATACTCATACATACAATATGCACCATACAGACTAACATATGCATAAATAAAAACAAAAGATGTAAATATTAGAATATTTAATGGAGCAAAGAAAATACATGTACTAAACCAATAAAAACATGATTTAACTTATCTAATATTACAGAGTAATAAAAAATCAATAGGAAAATATGCATTAGACATTTAAGAACAATTTGAAAAAAATTAAATAAAAAATCACAAAAAGGTGGGTAAATAAGTTAAATCATTTTGATGGAGATGACATTTAACCTTACATAATGTAAAAATTAACACAAAATATATTTGTGTAAATCTTGTAATAAAGAGGGAAAGAAGCGATAAACTCAATTACTGCACATCATATGTATAGGATTGTTGCCGCTATCCCTCTCTGTTTCGATTTAGGATTCAGCCACTTGTTCAAGGGCAAGCTCCAACCTCCTTCATGCTCTGCGATCTATCTAGGTCGTCGCTGCTCCGCCCTGTCAGACGATTTCTTATGTTGCTGAAAATAATTGAATTAATTCATCTCAGTAAAAACTAATTTTCCAATTTCATACGTATAAGGAAACCTAACTTTTCATTCCATATATATAAAACTGAAACTTGTGGAATAAAAGATGGAAGGTGAATAATGTTAATTAGAGAGAGATGCCGACACAAGGGAAATACCCAAAGTGACCTTCCGGACTTTGTTGAAAGAGACGCGGAAGTATTTGCAATCTTGTAAATCGGACGGTTTAATATATATGTATATATATATGTGTGTGTGTGTATGTGTGTGTATATATATATATATGTTTAATAGCAAGAAAGGTAATAACCAAAAAATGTAATAGTTATTACTCCATTTAATTATTACCTAGATAAATGGTAAGTGTCCGAAATTATAGTGTCCATTTTTAACCCGTGCACGAAGTATGGCCGTTGCATATGGCAATTGTGAAATTAAATGGTAAGTGTCCGAAATTATATCAATATAAAATGGTAAGCGTGAAGTTAATATAATTATTATTTTTATAATAATTAACGTATTGAAGTTAATACAATTTTACTTTATTAAAATTGAAATGAACGTATTGAAATTTGAAATAATTAAAAAGGTAAGTTATAAAATTGCAAAGTGTAAGTTTTTAATAAAAATGGATACAATGTATTATACGGTAATAATTAACCAACGTTATTATGAGTACTGATTGGAAAGCATCCGAAATTGGGGTAAGAATAATTAATTGTCATTTTTAAAGTGTCCGAAATTATACTAGCAAAAAAGGTAAGTTACTTTATTGGAAAGCATAAATTTTTATTAAAATTGGTATCAACAATTTGAAATTGGAAATAATTAAAAAAAAGTAATATTCAAAAATCCAAAAAACCAAAAGTCCATAATATGTTTAAAAGCGTTATTATTATTATGTTATTAAAATTGGAAATAATTCAAAAAAGGTAATAATTAACTAACGTATTGATTGTATAACCGTGTGACTAGGTAAGTTATAAAACTAGAACGCGTAAATTTTTATTAAAATTAGAATCTACGATTTGAAATTGGAAATTGAAATTAATTAATTATGTATAACCGTGTGGCTAGGAAGTTGGAAATTGGAATCAATGATTATAATATAATATAATTATGGTAAGAATAATTATACACCCACTTTCAAAAAATAATTATGGTAAGAATAATTACACACCCAGATTCGAAAAAATTTAACCCATCTTACTAAAATTAGCCTATTAGAATTATATAATATAAATACAGTCCTTTTCTAGGCCAAGGTAGTAAGATTATTCAAGATGTGTTTTTATTCGGTGCTTCAACATCGTCAGGGACAATCTCTGAAACATGTTGGAATATTGTTACGGAAACCTGTGGTTAGTCATGGACAACTCTATATTGTAGTTTCAAGAGTAACTAATCGTAGTGGCTTGAAGATTCTGATATGCAATGAAAACAATATTCCCACAAATTGTACAAATAATGTAGTCTATAAAGAAATATTTTGAAATATGTAAACCAGTGATATTTTTTACCTTAAAATAATATAATTTCTATATTCTATTGTATCTCATTTATTATCATTGAAAAATGATTTGAATTTAATAACATAAATATGACCCGTGCAACGTATGGGTGTGATACTAGTAATTACAATAGGAATAATATGAAAGGTACATTTGAATAATAGTTTTAGGTTTCTTTCAGTTTTTTTTGCTTCCTTTCATTTTTTAAATATTTTTTTAGTTATTTTTACTTCTAGTTTTTTCTTGTCTTTTCTAATTTAATTCTATTTTTCTAGTTTTTTTAGTTTCTTCCCATTTTTTAGTGTTTTCCTTTTTTTCAACATCCAACCTTCTTTCTCACTTCAAAGAACATGATCTTAATACAAAGTTATATTTAAAAGTCATCGGATATGATCTTATAACAAATATATTCGAATCCTTTAAAATAATATTTGAGGATTTGAGGTCTAGAAATTTGACATGTGGCAACTTGACAATTTTATTTTAGTTACACGTGGGCTTACAAGCCTCTACTCCTACGAAAAAACCGCAGAAGCCTTCCAGTATGGGATTCTTGGCCTCTCTATGCGCGATGCCAAGGAAAGGAAAGGAAATCTACGCACGTCAAGGAAAGAAAATCTGCACCCAAAAATCTGCATCGGCCAGGGTTTCCTTTTTGGGTTCTGATTCCAGGGTAGCCTTAGTGTCGGATTCTTCATCGGTCAAGGGAAGGAAATCTGTATCCAAAAATCGCAGAAGCCTTCCAAAAAACCGCTGATTCTTCGTGGTACATCTTCGCCTAAGGAAAGGAAATATGCATCCACAATGAAGGAAAGTCAAAATGTGCTGATTCTTCGCGGATTATTAGCGTCAAATCCAAAATCTACAACGTCAAAATTCGCTTATTCTTCAGCGTCAATTCGTTAATCAGGTTTTTTTCCTAAAACTCATATGCAAATCTTATTCAAATCATAACTTCGATAATCAGGTTTTTCAATTGTGATTGCTCTGTGATTGGAGGTGTGGCGACACTCGATTTGGTAAATTTGATTTTGAGTATTTTTTGGCGAGTGTTCTGTCACTTTTGTGTGTTTGATGAATCCATGATCTGTGTGTTTCAAGTTTCTTTTAACTAAACAGTGTATTTCCAATATTGAACCAATCAATTGTTTTGCACATCTATAATGAAATAAATCCATCTTCTTAATTTTATTCACCATAACCTTCAAGACCCCATTTTACAGTTTTTTTTTTTTGTTTTTATTCTAAATGTGACCTATGAATATTTGCTTGATTGATTATTTGTTATTCATTTTATTGATCCCTATGTATTTAAATCATACTTTTCTATTTAAAGCTAAACCCAGTTTTCTTTGATTATACTTAACAGAATGCATAGGAAGTAAAAACTTGATCATTTGATGCTAATTTAGGTTTGTTACTTATTTAAAAAGAGATTTTTTATGCACATGAAGTGTAATTAGACTACACAATTTGGGAAGTTGATTGAAATCCCCAATGCAGGTAGATCTTGAAAATTTCCAATACAATGAATTTCTGTTTTTCCATAAGGCTTGCTGTATACCAGGGTATGATTTTTTTATTGGATGTGAAATTTGGTAAAATTCCTCATGTAGATTCTCTTTATGGATGAATTTGTAAGTAGAAATTTCATTTCTGGTCTCTTTTTGTGGTGTTCATTTTAATGCTGATTCAATTTATTCTCTTTAATGTGTGTGTGTGTGCGCGCGCGTATAGTTACGAGTTTATAAAAGTAACTTTTATTTGAACTGAACTATGAGGCTTAGGTGATTTAAAGAACTTTTTTTTCTGATTGCACAAGAACAATGAGAGTATTAGCCTTGAATGATTTTTAAAACAAATTAGTCTTCTGAAAAAAATTATTTGTAGAAATGTGATGGCATCAACAATTTAGATCTTTGCACTAACGCTAGCTTTTGTTGTTCGAAAAAAATACAGGGTTTTGCCTCATAATCATGAAGAAGCAAATTTACAAAATTTGAGATCCTTCCACTAACATTATAAGGTTAGTTCTAACATTTTTGGAATTTCACTCCCAAAATTCAAAAATGACTTTATATAGCACTTGGTTTTTTTATCAGTTCTTAATCACAAGGTGGATCTTCACAAAGGGCATTACATATACACAATAACATGCAGCTGGCTGAAAATCTATGTTAAAAAAGTATACCTATAGTGGGTAGTTATTACGGAGTATTATACTTATTTGTGGAATCTAAATACCCATGAGCCAAAATAACTAATGATTGAGGAGCACTGAAATAACTAATAAATAGAACGCCAAGGCAAAGATAGATAACCATATAAAAACTAACACTCTAACATATCTTAAGGAGATTTTCCTACTGTTTTGTTCCATTATAGGCTTTTCTATATATGGACTTTAAAGGTGTTCCAGTCTTTTGGATCGAGTGTTGTAGCAATCAAGTCGCCGTTAGAAGGCTTTTTTCTTGCGTTCAGTTCACTCTGTGGGGGGAATGCAAAGTATTCTGTTTGCTATTGAGTAGGGCTAGACTATGTTACTAATCCTCAATAGTTCATTTGACAATTGCTTTGTTCTCTTGATTCAACACGCAGATGCATCACGGGGTAGAATTTTAGAGGCATTGAAACCCTTCTTGGCTTTCATTTCTAATTAAAATTGAATGAATAGAAACATTCTGTATGTGCAAGGAGAGTATTATTGATTTTTTGTATATGGAGTATTTTATTCATTTATGTTTGTATCAAATCTCTGATTGGTTGGATTTTATGGCAATTCTACAGTTATTATAGACTGATGGATTACTACAACAACCAAAAGATATCTTATTATATACAACAGCAGCAGAGAAAATATCTCGCCCAGATGTTGTAGCAACCATCCATGCACAATCTCCCACGCACGATCTCTAGACACTACAATCTTGCCACCAATTATCTCTATCTGTTTTTGTAAAATCGGAGACCCACGTTCTCAGCCGTGCGACACAACCTTCTTTAGATGTTTTTTGTGAGCTGAGCCCAGGGCAGATCCATAGCGCCGGGAAGGAAAAGATAGTGATAAAGGGTTGTAACAATGCAGAGAGGATGGATGGCAGCACCAGGCTAGGATTTCGACCCTTAAATTTAGAGGATTACGGACTATTGAGAACTACCCTTAAATTCAACACGCGGGCCAGGTACTTATACATATATACATATGTATGTACACACCACACTCTTGCAGTTGAATATTCTAACGTTAATCCCAATTCTTTATCACCTTTCTGATTAGAGTAAAATTCTCTTTCAATCTGCTGGTGAGCATTTTTTAATTTGGGGAGGGGGGAACAGTTTCATCGGTCTTCTTTTACACTTTTTAGTAAGTTTTACGCACATCCCATATTAAAAACTGCAAGTCCACAATCTCCCACTAATAAATACTCTGTATATCTACTCCTCTATTGCAAACTTCATCCAAATTCAAGGAAGACAGTATGCTTACGATCTCTGGCCAAAGAAAAAGACACCAACGAGCTCTAATGAAGAAGACTCTTATATCATCTAAAAGATGGAGATGACAATGACCTCAAAGATTGTTCTTGCTACCTTCGGTGAGTTTTCATTTACTTTTTTTCTAACCTTAATCCATAATGCTTTGTAATTCTAAGATGGGGCATCTTAATTCGAGGTTGTAAGCAATTTTCTAGGACACCGATGTCTCTCCCCCCACCCTCTTGCAGATGGGTGGATTCTCCGGTTTAACACTAGGTCCAGATGAAGAGGATGGTGGCTATGCCTTCTAAGTAGTGATTCTACAAAACATACAATTTGGTAGCATATAGTCAGAGAGGTATACAATTCCAATTTGGTAGCATATAGTCAGAGAGGTATACAATTCCAATTTTGTGAGTCATTCATACCCTCTTCAAACAGAGGTACTTTGCTTTTCTGTTACACACTACCATGTTACCGAGTATAATTTAATGAGTACTTTAAAAAATAAGAGACAGTAGTACACAATGTTGTGAGGTGCATTGTCAATTTTAAAAGTTTGATATGAAGCTTTGGCCAGAATTGCTAAGAGTAAACTAATGAAATGTTTATTTGAAGATGCTTTTTAAGGATCAAGATGTGTTTAACACATAACTTCAATCAATTTTTATTTATCAAAACTGGAGTTGATTTAATTACCTTTTTTATTTGATTTCCCATGGTCGTGTTTTAAAATTCATGCAATAAAAGAAACCATACTACACTACAATCATACTACATGAACTTATAAGTCTCTTATAAATGACACTCTTTTTTCTTATTTGCATATTAGTGCTAACATTTTAAAAAAATATTAGACTAAAAGAATTCATTCTACATGATAAATTTTGATATTAAAACACAATACCTATTAAGATTAAGACGATTACAAAGATAAGATAATCCGCTTTTTACATCATGCTCATTTAGATTCATGTCATGAAATAAAATGAAATTCTTCTTTAGTGGATAACAAACAAAAGTAACTCATCTTCATGTAATTTTCAGAATTCAAAGAGAATTGTTAGTAAGCGGAGATTCTTGATTTGTGGCATATTTATAAGGATGTTTATCCTCTTGAAGATGAAAGTGTTCTTTGCATGCAAAGACACAACCTGCATATGGAGCTGTTTGGGCTTGATGATGATAGAATTTCTAAGGCATTCAATCATCCAAACATTATACATCACCCTCGATGATGTCCTATTTTACTCCTGTAGAAGCCTTAGACTTCCATTTTTTATTTTATTTTTTTAAATGCTTTGCAAAGTGCGCTGTTCATTTTCTTTGGAAAAAAGAACGTGTTTGGCAACATTTCAAAATAACATTTTCCTGTCACGAGTTGATATGCACCATTAATGAAAGTCAAAGACAATATCTACCACATGTCGGCCCACTAATTAAAAGCCAGTTTATAGCCACTCTCTCTTTTTCATTGTTATCTTACGTGCTAAAAATTGAGAAGGATATTAAATTTTGACATGCGATGAAGAAAATAATCTTTTAGGTCACCTTTGGAACGTTGTGCATAAAGAAATTTTTCAAAAATTATATTGGTGATAATTGTTTCTCATTTAATTTTATTATGTGCTTTTGATCGAGCGAAAATACAGCAAACATTAGATTTATCCAAAGTAGTAATTCTTTGTGAAGTTTTGAAATTAGTAATGTTTTGTTATTTATAGTTTACATAATTATTATTATATAATTCTTATTTCAACCATACTAAAAATGTTGGTACTAGATGACAATGAAAATCATTGTATTTATATTAAAAATGTTGTATACCCTGAAGTCTTTCAAAAAAAATTTGTATTAATTTTTTTTTGTTGTGTACACATTCAATTACTCAAATATTATTTATTCCACTTTGATTTTTTCTATGGTATTAAAAATCACGCGAGAAGTATATTTCCTTTTTCCTCAAAAATATTGCATTAAATTTTTTTTAGAATCGACAAAAAAAATTGTTCTACCCCGTGCATGGCACGGGTCGAAATACTAGGAATACAAATAGGTTACCTAGTAGTACAATGAAGGCTTGGAGTAGAACGATTGTTTTCTTCACTTTAGCCCCGTTTGGCAATATCGTTACTGATTAGCGTTTTGAAAAAGCTACTTGAAGATAAGTTAACACTAATCGAAGACGCTGTTTCCCAATAAGATCTTTACTCCTACAAAATGTTTTTTGGTGGGAAAACATCCCCTATTAAGGAGTAATTTTTTTATACGGAATGGATATACTCCCTTCGTCCCTTCAATTGAAATTATTTTATTTACAAATCAGGATTTGAATAAGAAAAAAAAATTATATGTTAAAAAAAACTAAACAAAAAGATCTATAAAACAAAAAATGACATGAATATTTTATTTTATCAAATAATCAATAAAAATATATATACATAAACAAAAATATTCAAAAAAAAGGAGAAAATAAAATTATAATCAAAATGAGTACGGACAGTATATTTTACTACCCATTATTTTTTTAGTTCTTTTTTTATCCCACTATATTTCAATTAGAACTCATCTGCCATCAAGATATTCATATCGGCGGAAACCAAGTGCGGCAGCCTGCCCTCGTCATCCCGGCGGCAGTCAAGGCCGACAGAGAGACTCGTCTTCACCAAGTAAGCCGATTCCCCATGTCTATAATATGCTCTCGTCTATGCGCCCGCGCCCGCACACTCACAGATACACTGCGGATTACACTTGTGATTCAAAATTATTGATGACTTTAAAAGTATGGGCCCTAGAGTTTTAGGTTCCTGTGCGGTTGGCCACTTTGCACACAGCCACCCATGATTTGTGCTTTTTTGATACATTATTGTATATAATCCTGATACATTATAGGAGCAGCGACGCCATGGATTTGGATCAGCTCCAGTCCACTATGAGGACTTTTGAGCTCGCATGTACTTCGGTTCAGGTAGTGTTCGCATTTCTTTGGTTGATGAGATCGATATTTTTGGCATTTGATTGGTATGCTGCAAGTGTTAAGTAAATAATGCGAACCATTAAATCATTTAAATATATTGATTGCTTAAAATAATTCGAATCATTATATGCTTTAAGTATATTGATTGCTTAAAATAATGTGAATCATTATATGCTCTAAATATATTGATTGGTTAAGCTTCCCTATAACATTAGCTTTAGCTTTATCAGTGTTTTTTTAAACTTAACAACAACCCGGTATAATACCACATCCGTAGGGGTCTGGGGGTCAAGATGACCTTATAGGCATTGGTGCATTTACTGCCCAAGTTTTCATAGAGTCTAATAAGGAAGAGAAGTTTAGTTATTAATGTGTGTTGATTTGTCCATTAGTGTTTTTTAGACTTATGCACCATTAACGACTAAGCAGTCTATCAATATGCAATGATGATGGCGTCAGTTTGAATTTGTCCTGTATGGATGTTCATAGCATATTAGATAGCGGGGGAAACCTTTGTGCACTCAAGTGTGTTTATATTAGATATGTGATCTGAAGTAGTTGAGGGTTTGTATTGTTTTTCTGGTTGCAAATTATGAGCACTGAAGGAAAGCTGCTTAGAGCTTGTTGCATTATTGGTAAACTATAAGTTCAAAGGACTGGACATTTATAATTCAACCGCATCAATTAAAAGTGATTTCCCATGAACAAATAAACAGTTAAACATTAAATTCGAATTTGGTTGTTCTCATGAATCTCAATTAAATTCAGCTAAGCAGTTGAACAACAAATTCATATTCACCATGCTATTCTCTCGAGACCTGACGTCTTTTCCTTTTGTTTATTAACAAAAGCATCAACAACAATCCTTGTGTTGCTGTTGACAATGTTTACTGTACACTGTAGACTATTTTTCCGCATGTGCTAATATTAATGTTTTATACTGTTATCTGCCTCTTAGAAGGTTTATGGTGATCCAGCAGCCGAGGCTATCATTTCATCCCTGAGTCAGTCTATTCGGCCATACCGGGTATGCCAATTTATTCTTGGTGAGTCTTCAAAAATCATGTTTGTCTCTGCTATTACACACACTCACATTGAAATTTTAAACTATCTTAGGCAAGCCATAAATTCAATTATTGTTTTACCCACTTTGGTCCTTATGTTTTCTTAGGTTGGTTCAGTCCTTAAACTTCTCTTGACCTTGTTTTATCCCCTTATTTTTCTAAACTGGTGCTAATTTGGTCCCGCGGTTGATCTTTTACAATCAACCGAATCAAATGTTTGGTTTGGTTGTTATTATTTTCCAACCCATTCAAATATTTTTCAATTCCACTTGCATATTTGGTTAGTTTATAAAACAATTGACTACATGACAAAGTCATCATGATTTTGGAAAACTTAGGGACCAAAACAGGGTCGCAACTCGCAAAAAACTTAGCCACTGAACCAATAAAAGTGGATGAACTATTGAATATAAGGATCAAAATGAGGTTTTAGCCTTGATTAAACGAGTTGACATCATCTAATTAATTAAATCAAATAGCTAAAGCAAGAAATAGTGATGTTGACTGATGAACAAATAATGTGAAGATTGTTTGTAAACTTTATTATTAAGAGCACTGGCAGCGGGCGAGGCAAATGCTTGCCATGCTTGCCACATCAGCTACCAACAAATAATTTGCCATGCTTAGCATGGAGAGGCAAGCCATTCCACCACGGAGAGCAAGCCATCTCCAAGGCACCCCACACCTCTTTTTCTTTCTTTCTTTTTTTTTTTGAGAAAAAAAGCTCTTTTTTGAAAGGAAGTAGAATTTTTTTTAATGAACCTGATAGAATTTAGGATTGGGTAGAGATAACTGGATTGAGCTATAAGACACTTGGGCTGAACCACATTAAAAGATTGAATCCAATCGATTAGTAAGTTCAACTCAAGAGCTTATATACCGATTATTTTCTTCACACTTTTCCAATGTGGGAAACTCTTTAATACTCCCCCTCAAGTGGACAACCGGACCATTTTGAATCTAACCGGTTGACCACTTGCAAATTGACTCACATCCCCTTGATTTTTTTTGAGCGCCAACACCAAATGGACCATGAGCCGTTGGGTATGGAATTCTAGACGAGCAATCGTATTAAACGGGCCACAGGCCGTTGGGTACATACTCCATACGGACAACTGGGCTAAAAGACAAACGGGCCGCTAGGAATGAACGTCCAGACGGACACCTTGACAAACGAAGTGGGCCAAAACCTGCTCTGATACCATGATAGAATTTAGGATTGGGTAGAGATAACTGGATTGGGCTATTAGACACTTAGGCTGAACCTCATTAAAATATTGAATCCAATCGATTAGGTAGTTCAACTCAAGAGCTTATATACCGGTTATTTTCCTCACACTTTTCCAATGTGGGATACTCTTTAATAGAACCGAATAGCAAAAATAATTTTTAATAATTACGTAGTAAAATACATTACAAAAATTTTAAAAAGTGACAAAACTAACGACTTGCCACTGTAGGGTGTGTCACTCCACTCACTTGCCACTTTGTGACTGGACCATTTTTTATTGGTTGATTTATGCCATGTCAGCGTGTGACATTCTTTTTTTTCCTTGCCATTGATCATGCTCTAAGAGGAACAGAAATATATAACATGGCATATGAAGATGACAAGTCAACAATTTATGGGATGGACCGTAGCACCTAGAGTAGAATTTTGACTAATAACCTCATAAAAGGGTCAGATAAATTAATAACATACTCTCACTGTATTTTTCTCCTAGATACTCTGGCATTATGCATTTAGCTACTGAGATCACTAAAGTTGGTTTTTAAATGTTACACACTTACACATTTGTTTACAAGCAAAAATTTGTAAGGCTGACCATATTTTTTTACTCTGCACTTGCTAGAGAGAAAATAGTCTGGCATAGTTCTCTTCGAGAATTGTTGAATGCTCCTGTATTTCTAAAACCCAACATGTGATTGTTTATATGCTGACTATTCTGATAGGGTCTTAAAACAGAGTACCATTAAGATGCCATTTTTTAGTCGCATACATTTTAGAGAGGCATAGATGAAGGTTACAAGCTATGTTAGAATTGAAAAAGTGTGAATGAAATTTGTGTGTGGTGTTTCAATGTTTGAACTAACAACACTTGACATCTCCAGAACATTCTCAGGTGGCAATGGCACAGTTTCAAGCTGCCGGAGCTCTCAGAGATGCAGCAATACGAGAATGGGTATTTCTTGAGGATGATGATAAGAGGCATTTGATAAGGTAATTTTGATTTCAAACATACACAAACTGTTGCCATGGCGGTCAACTATTTATTTTGACAGAATAAAGATCTAAAGAAAACATTAAAGAACATTTGACACTTCATCCTCACTTTAGGAGTATTGCCTATTTTGAATAATATAGGAAAGTGAATATTATTATCTTTTGTTGCGTACCAAAGGATACCTACTTGTTTCTAGTTACAAATTGATGATGAGCCAAATGATGATATCATGGTGAGCTAAGCAATATTGTCAAAATACAATTATTATACACGCCTTTATTCAACAGTAGTTCAATTATCCTACATACATTGGCTCATGATCTAGTGCTTTTGTTTTTCTTTTTTAGCTTTGTAATAATAGGGTATCACTTTCCTAAAGGTTCATTGTATTAATAACATTTCTGTTAGGAACAAAAGCACACACACATGAATAGAAAGCAAGAAAGCAATAAAGAACACGAGATTTAACGTGGTTAGGTCTAATCTGACCTACATCCACGGGGGAAACTGGGGTTTGTATTATTGAGTGATAATGATTACAAGCAAAGAAGATCATATTTATAGGCAACTAATTAGGGTTTAACCCTTGCTGAAATGCTGAACAAGTTATAGCAAACTGGGCTTAAAACCATTTGGGCCGGCCGAACCCTAATCTGGTCTCCTAATTCTAAGTTGTCTACAATTGGGCCACTTTGGGCCGATGACTACACATCACCAACAATCTTCAACCTGGAGTCTTTGGACCAAACTGCGGCTCCCCTATGTACTTCTGTAAATGAAAACTCTTTGATCTTCACATCTCCCTAGTTGCCCCTCTCCTCAACACTATTCCAGGAGACCAGCTGAAGCTATGCAAAGTGATATACCCCGGGTTACTACCAACGATTCTCAAGTCCTTAAACAAATCAATGGAATAATGACTAGGTTTTTTGATCCTTTTTGGAATGAAGTCCTCTACAAACCCCAAATCATAGCCATAATCTCTTTGGGCTTTTACCCCCTTAAGGCCGAACCACCCTACCCTAAAACCAAACCCCAAAATCCAAAACAACACCAAAACCCTAATCTCCTCTTCTCTTCTTCTCCCCCTTTGGCCGAAACTACAACCCATCAACATACCCCACATAATTTCCTTCATTGAATTAAAACATAAAAGACCAAAACTCATGTCAAACCACAAACCTAATCAAACCCCTCTTTGTCCCCATGTAAGGCCAAAACTAGAGGCCAAAAACAACCCCTCTTTTATTCCCCAACATTGACCAATCATTGTCCCCCTTGTGTCTCCCACCTAGGCTGAATAAACAACAACAAAAAGACAAAAGACTTTTGTGAGTTTATTGACACTCCACCCACCAAATCAGCCCCCTCATACCTTCCATGAATGACCCAATATAAGGACAATAAAACCAACCATCACCTATCCTCTTTGTCCCCCATTATTTCCCAAGAATCATCACTTATTTCCCTGTGATTTTCCTCACTAAATGACGAGCCACCGGCCATGAAAACCAAAGACCAAATCTCTGATTTCATTCCATTAAGAAAACATAAACAAATGGATATTATTCTTGTGATTTGTGAGTGGAAGTTGCTGGGAAGTCCCCCCGCGTGTGTATTTATTTCGGCCTTAGGCCATTTTGTGAGACTCATATTGTAATTCCATTTTCCATTTAGTAATACACTTGTTGTGTTTGCTATTTAAATTCCTAAATCTATATCTTAAGAGTGGTTATCTTAAGTGTGAGTTTTAGGTTCTAGATATTTAATTAAGTGTGTTATATCTTAATTAAGTTCTAGACTTAACCCCAAGTTAAGATAAGAGTGTGTAATATCTCTTAAACACCAACTTGGTTTATCCCCTAAAAAGAAAACACCAAAAGAAACTCCTGACTTTTTTCTTTCTTCAATTCAGCCCCTCCATTCCCTCCTCTAAATACAACTCATTTTCACCCTTCCTTATACAGAATATAGTCTAAAACCTATCCTCCCTTTGCTGCCATTTTCTTATCAGGACATCCCTCCTCTAAATACTTCCATCCCTTTA